AGCAGAGCTAAAAGCAGCCTTTCCTTCAGACTGTGACGCTGAACTGCTGGTGTCCTGTACAGGAACTTAAAGCTCTCATGGGGACAATGTGGTCACCCAGCAGGTTAAATACCACCAGACCGTCAGCAGAGAGCAAGAGAGAGAAAGAAAAGCCACTTGAAGCAGCAGTCAGCATGAAGGGGCATGAGGTTCCAGATCACAGACTACGCTTTGGGACGTGAGCCCACAATCACAGTATGTGCTGGGCTACAGCCAGTTACCAAATCAGAGTAAAACACATACAGCTTGAGCTCGTAGTAGCAGTCTGCTGAAGGACATATTCCATGATGGATGGCACGCCCTTGTAAAATATGGATGCTGCCTGGGGACGAATGTAGGAGACTGGGGTTTGCTTTAATGGGGCAGTTGATTGGGATGTGCAAAGCCTTTAATGGCCTGAGAGTAGCTTAAACTCTCTCTGGTTCAAGTCCAGAATGTCTCTATCAAATGTGGAGATTTAAATGCCTTCATTTTCACTAGAGCTTTAGATTAAAGCATCTAACACTTGGGCTACAGCAGAAAGATTCCGTAATTAATAAAAAATAGAATGTTCAAAAGAGTAGAATTGATTTTTAAAAAAAAAAATTTTAAGTTGTAAAACTCTCTCCTGACACTTTTGATCAATTTAATGTGTCCTTGCTAAATAAAACTATTAATTTCTTTTAAAAAAAAAACAAAAAGGAAAGAAAATCTTACTGACCCTTTACTGATTCTTTTCTTCAGCGGAGTTCTCATTAATCTACCATAAAGCTTAATGTCCGAAATGATTAATAAAAGTAAAAGATTATAATTAGCCTTTGGTGGAATGTTTCACGCCAATTAATTAATGTCTGTAATAATTTTTTAATGTGAAAGCTCATTAATACCAAATATTTTGCTTTTTATTTCTCCATCTTTACAGGGTACTGTGTGAAGGACTATAAAGCACCATATGTCAACACTTTGCACAAGTAGAGCTGAATTGGCCAAATAAATCATTGTCCCAGAAAGGGAAAAAGCACAGATGATTTCTAATGGTCCCACTTTGTTGATGGTTGATGTATTGCTGCTTTAAAATAGCTCATGAAATTACTCATAAATCTTGCATACATGCAATTAATTTTTTATAACTGGCTAACAACACACATCACAATTAGGGATGCACCCGGCCCGATACTGGTCTCCTGTACTCGTACTCGTTAAAATGCCCCGATACCAAACGCAGATACCACACAGCATGTGTTAAGCGCCATATTCAAACAGAAACACAGACAACAGAACAACAGACAGCAGAAAGGAGTTAAGGATGTCTACTACGAAGTATATGTATGCAATGAATATAATGTTAAACATTCAGTATTAACACCTGTATAGCTGATGTGCGCGAGTTGATAAGCAAAGCGCGCTGAGTGGATTGAGCGCGCG